ATTTCAAAATTTTTACTGTTTAGGAAATAAATAGTTTTACAAAGAGGAAGAGATGGTGATCAACAACATAATGTTAACAACCTCGCTATTGCTTTGTTTAGTATCACCCCAACTCCATTCCAGTGGTGTTGTTCATCATTGCCAGAGGAATGTACTATGCATTCTGAAACACAGTCCTCTTCCTAGCCATCTCATCTCACTTATTCCCATTCTATCAATATTTAGTATCTTCTTTTCATGCATTAAAAGTAATTTTTCTCACAAATGCTTGATACTTGTGCGAGGACCCAGAGGGGGTCAGCATGGAGATCTGAATGGAGACTATCAATTGAGAAATTAAAGATCTTGATTAAACAATGAAAGTTTTTTATTATTTAAACAACAGAAAAAACTAAAGTCAAGGGAAACATGGCTGGAGAGGAGTCATATTTAGTTGCAAAACTGACCTCTCCCGCACCCTCCAATCGGTTTTGAATTGTCACCAGGTGACGAGTTGAGACCAATGAAAAGATGGCTTTATGGGAAATTATAAAACCACATTTCAAGGTCAAGGTGTTTTTGGTTCATAGTGCTCCTCTCCTGGAATTCTGTGCTCCTGTCCTTCAACAACAAAGGCTCATTCAACACCCTAGGATTCGTTTTCGCTATCCCGTCACGTTAAGATTTGCCCAGGTACAACTGGTCATCGGAGGTCATCTCTGCAAGTTATGCTGTGTGCCTGGGGCCATTGCTCTCCTTGTCACCTTTACCAGAAAAAACAAAACGATCACTGGAACATTTGGACTTTTTTTGAATTGACTTGTTTCCCACTGTTGGATAGGCTTTATGCTTCATTATATGAATAGTTGTAAGGAAATTTATATATCTATTAAATAGTTTCAAATGGTAAACCTGTGTCAATGAGTCTTTGCATGCGCACATGACTGTTTTGACTGCTCAATTGTCGTGACCCTTTCCACCCAATCGGCAAACCCCACACTTGCATTGAGTGACTTTATTGTGAATAAAGTATTATGATATATATCAAACTAGGAAAAATTAGAGAAGGTCATTTCTAATGGTCTCCTTAAAATATTGCCATTTTTTCATATTTATCATAGGTTTGGCCAGGTCAACAAGGAATGATCAGTCAGGTGGTAAGAAATTGGATGCAACTTATCCATGGAAAACTGCTAGTAAAAAATTCCTGGTAAACTGCTCATCCAAGATAAGATCTCAAGTTCTCCAGAGGCTGACACTTTAACTGCATTGACCATTCAATTCATGACTTTGAAATTGCCTTGAAGAATTTACAAATTTTCAATTTTTTTGGTATTTTTATTTACACTGCTTTTTCTTATAAATCTTTATAGAATAAATAAATGAACATAAATGCATACTCATATTTTGTAAATGGTGTTGCCAAAGTTGCAAAAATCATTTGATTATTCAATTATTTCCTGAATCACTGTGCAATTTCTTTTTTCTTTTTATGATTTAAACTATCATCAATTTTTTGCAATGCAAAGTCTCAAATCTATATAAAAATTCTGTTGTGCAACCTGTAATGTCAGTATTGTTATATGACAACAAAACAAGGATGTTTATATTTAGACTAAACCTGCTAATTGTATTTTATCTTAACTAATTATATTTTGTTTCTTTGCAAGTTTACTAATAATGCTTCAACAAATAAATGATTAATAGTTTCTATTAAATGCTGCTAAAATATATGAACTTTGTACTTAGATCGTCAAGTTTTACACTGAAACCAAGTATCAAGCCTAAGTAAAAGAACCCTGAGGTCATTGACACCAATAATTACAATAAATACAAAAATACAAACTGTTTTTCACCATTAATCTTTTAAAAATGTGTAAAAAGTAAATACTTTCAACAATGCAATGTCATACTCTTCAGGCTAACAGAATTCCAAATATAATTTAGAATTCACAAATTCAGTACCCAACAAATTGATCATTATTAGAGTAATATAATTTATCCAGAAAAAACACCCCAGATGTAAAAGAATTATGCCAAGTAAGAATTTATTAAAATTTAGACAAGTCAAAATTTTTTTAGCAGTTTTTCTTTAGTAAGGATAAGTTTGGTGCTTGAAGGCAAAATGTAGAAAACAATAATATAGGTAAAAATCTTGTGAAACCTGCATCCAAGCACCAAGCTTGTCTTTACCAAAGAAAAATTGCTAAGAAAAATTTTGACTGTTGTCTAAATTGTCATAAATTTTTACATCTCAAGTTTTTATTTGGATATCAATTGCTTTTGTTTAATAATTGTATTATTATGTCAGAACATAATACATACAATTCAATCAACACTCGACTGAAAGTGCTGCTGACCAAATGCACTGTTAATTGAACGCTTTCAATATTCATTTCTGCTAAAGCCAACCAACACTTTTGATACACCGTTTAGAAAAATTATTATAAAAAGTTTTAATTTACATAAATTAGAGCTTTTGTAATTCTGAGTAACATTTTGAATAAAATTCATTTCTTTCTATGCAATTTTATCCTTGTAAGCATAAAATTAAGCCATAAAACTAAATTAGCTCTATGGGAAACCCCATCAACTTTGACCTGTCGACCAGGAAGTTTTGTGAGCAGCTCATTGATAACAAGCTTTCTAGACCCAATAGTTTTCTCTCAATGAGTGTCTGCAGTGCCAAATGAAGAAAAAGAAAAGAAAAAACATCTTTTTTTGGCCATTTTTTGCACTTTTCAATTGCTTACATTTCAGCAACAGCATTACAGAAAATCTTGAAACTTTGCACACTATCTGAGAAAACAATTTTTTTTTTGAAAAATATATTTGAAATTACTCCAGGTGTTTGCAGGTGAAGAAATCACCCCTGAAAATTGTTCCTGTATATGTAGTCAGTTAGTGACTTTTTTTACCTAACAAGGTCACTGAAATGACCACTGATAATTTAAAATTATTATTACTGTATTGATGTTTAATTTCCAAACCACTTAGTTTCTTTATACATGTTATTAAAAATTAATGCTACAAGACAGTTTGTATCATCATACTTTTTGTTCCGGTAAAAATAAAAAGACAATTAAGTCAAAGTCCAAATAGTCAGAATTCAATAACACTAATATATGCATTATAAATTTAATTATACCATTTATTTTTTTATTTTGTATTTTTGAAATTTTATTGTTCGAATGCATTTTAACTGAGGTTTTAATGTTATAATGGAGGCAGTAATTTCTAATTTCATTGATCTTTACTATAACAGAGATTATGTTAGCTTAAGCAATCATAAATATAATTTGTCATAACTAGAACTTTGGTAAATTGAGACTGGACATATTTCACAGTTCCGGGTTTTAAACTTTCACTGTGCTGCTTTAAAATAAATTGTTTAATTATTAAAAACTACACAAAGATTGTGGCACAACCAATTACATGCAAAAAATGACAGTATAACTTACCTTAAAAAGAAAATTAACCAATAAAGTAAATTTTGCCATTGCCCTGGCAAATACCATTGTCTCGACTTTAATTTTCATAAATAAAGCAAACAAAAATTTTACCAAAACTCATTTAAGTAAACTATGAATTACCTTCCCAACCCCCACAGAAATAACCCTATTACTTTCTATTACTTTCCCTTGTTATGTAAACATATGTTTTCAACAAGGGAAAGTAATGGAATCATGTCAAATTTGACCCTCCAAGATTTTTGCAAATCTCAAAGTTTTGAAACCCACTGAATCTAAAAAACTCATATAATGAAAAATTCCATGAATATGTATGTATGTGCATAGGGAATCTATTTTGCCTAATATCTCAGGACAGGGTGAAGATAAAAAAATAAAATATGGCACAATAGCTTGTATATAATGGCATTGATGCTATTAAATTTTGGTTGTGAAAGACCAACAGGATGGAGAGATAGAGAATAAACACACAATATATCTCGAGAGTGATCAGACTTAATGAAGATGTTATTCATTATCATCATTTTACAATATTCTATAAAACTCATCCCTATCCTCAGAATTAAGCTTTTTCCCATTTGATAATAATTAAAAATATAAAAAGTTTTTTATAACAAAATCTCATAACAGATGGTGCTACACACAATTTTATTAATTATATTAATAATATAAAAGTTATTTTTAAATAGTTTTTATAACAGCTGGGAAAATTATGCAACTCATTGCCAGTTTTTTTTTTTAATAATGATTTTATTATTCATGTCAAAAAGTGTAAAAAGCAAAGTGGTACTGTAATAAATGTTTTATTTTGAGTAGAGTAATTTTCTTCTCCTAGTACGCAAAGACAGGATCAACCTCCTATTGTAAAGCAATTCAAACATCTGGTTTTAGAGGACCATTCTACTGTACTCAGAAAATAGAGTTAAAGTTTAAGGATGCTCACCCCTTTTAATGTATGTGGTCCCATGTAAATTTGTGTTAGTTTGAACATCAGGGTGCATACAGTGACAACAGGTTTGGCTACTTTGCACCAAATTTAATTCCTTTATTACTCTTTTCATGCCAAAAAATATTTCTATTTTTTCAAACAATCTCCAACAGAAAAAATTCACAGATTTCTTTTAGCTATATTTTGTTTAACCACTCTATTATACTTCTCTATACTTACATAGCAAATAGTCTTCCTAATTTTATTTGATTTGAAAATCATTAAAATATTAATTTATTTATGTGAATAAATTTAATTTTTTGCTGTTCTCTCAATTAGTTGTATGTCCTTCAAAACTTAGCATAAATTTTTTATTGAGAACAAATTTAAATTTATTTAACTTTATTTAGTAAACATTCAAAATATTATAATTACAGATTTTGATTGCCTATTAATCCTTAACTACATAAATTATACAATTTTGACCTTGACTCTGAAAATCATTAATACACATTTCCAATAAGCAAACTAACTACTGTTCCCCTAGCAATTCATATTAACAGAAGTTAATTGTAATTAAATTTATATTAAAATCAATTAATAAAATTATTAATAATTCTTACCATTCATAAGATCTAATATAAAACAAAGTTTATCTGGTGTCTGGAAGGCATATGTCATGCAAACAATAAATGGACAATCTTCCTAAAAATTACAATAAATCAATATAAATTATTAATGAAAATAAATAATTTCATATTAAAGAATTTTAAATGTATCTCAAAATTACTTACTCCTGTACTGACTAAGGATAACATAATTCTTTCATTCAATGCTAAAGTTTCACCTTGTTTCATTTTTATTCGTTTTTTATCCAAACATTTCATTGCATACCTTTGAAGAAAAAAAAAGAAAAAACAGATTGAAGCACATAAATTAATAATTTATTAGATCAGACATGTATTTTCAAATAGCAATATCTAAAATNTCATAATTTTGAGTAGATATTTTTAAATATATAATAAAGTTATTAGTTTTAAAAAATGTAAAAACATGATTTAAATCATCTGTAATGTGATAATGTGATTGTTTATTATGAAAGAATTTTTTAAAGAACACTTTAATTATGAAAGAACACTTAAAAATTTTATTTTAAATTTCAAAAACACCTATATTATATCTAGCTATATGACTGAAGGGTTTGGCATACGACGGGATCTGCCAAAAATTCAACATTTCTTTCGATAAGAGTGTGATTCCAACAGATTTAATTGCAATCATAATAAAACAAATACTGAAAATATAATATACCTTTAGCCTATATTTATTGGTGTATATATAAACATATCTAAAAATAGAATACAGGTAAAATATTCAGAAAATACTTAGGAGGATTAACTACAATTTTGATTAAGAAAATGTCCTTCTATCTTAGGAATTCGGCAATTTTTAACTTCAAAAAGGATCCATCATCTAAAAAGTTTAGGAATCTAAATTTAAAGAATGACATTTGATTTTATAAATAGTATAAATTCAATTTGATGTAGTTTTTTTTATAAATTCTTTTAAATATTTTGTTTTATTTCTTAAAATTCGGTTTTAACTATTAATTTCAAGTAACGAAAGTTCCATTTTAAATAATAAGTGAAGAAGAGAACATATTCGAACAATGAAAACAGACAATGAGAATGCTGGCATTTAAATATATTTTGATCATAAAACATCTCGAAAACAATTATCGCATCAAATGTCATCCATCGCCAATTCATCAACGAAACATCATTTAAAAATTTCAGTAGGCCTAATTGAGAGATCACAAAACAATGAAATTTAAAAACTTTAAAGGACTTTTTCAGTCTATTTATAGAGAAGTACTGTCAAAATTATAAAAGCTTTAATTCAATCACAGATTTATCTGATAAATTATTCTGAGATATGTGGAAACTGAAAATAATTTCGTCTCTTTCCAAAGTCAACGTTCAACAAAAATTTGTTGAATTATTTACATACAGTATCATAGTTTTCAGTAACAATTTAGCTTATTGAAACAGTTTATTTGTTTTAATAAAAATATTGAAATATTGTCATATTATTTCATAATTATTTTGATTCTTTTTTTTCCTTTTTAATTTTCCTGAAATGCACAATTGTTTAAATACTATTTATTTTTGACATACAAGGTGATTTTTAATTCACGCAAAACTTTAATAACTTTTCAACTATATGAGACAAAAAGAAAATTCAAAAAGGATATTACACTGAATTTATTGCCATTTAGCCTAATGAATTAGGTTTTCAAAATGACTACCTTCGCTCGCAATAATAGCTTTTAACCGATTGAAACATTCAATAACGGTAATAAAGGTCTTTCTTGGAATTATTATTATTATTATTATTATTTTGTATTGTGTCTATCAACATTTCAATAGTTGTAGGAGCATTGTGATATACTCTGGCTTTAAGATAGCCCCATAAAAAGAAATCACATGAATTTAAGTTGGGGCTATAAGGCAACCACTCAACGCCCTCACCAACATATTTTTCATAATCTAATCCGATTACATGNTTGTGTCTATCAACATTTCAATAGTTGTAGGAGCATTGTGATATACTCTGGCTTTAAGATAGCCTCATAAAAAGAAATCACATGAATTTAAGTTGGGGCTATAAGGCAACCACTCAACGCCCTCACCAACATATTTTTCATAATCTAATCCGATTACATGCTTCTCAAACATGTTGTAAAGGCTTTTAAACACTTGCTTTGTGCGATGGGCCTTGCACTATCTTGCATAAACCAAGAACGACGATGTTTATGCCCAACAAGCATTTTGGGATAAAACTTCTTTTTCAACTTTTCTTTTTCTTATTCAACATATGCAGCAGAAGTAACGTTCTTTTTTGATTCGAATGGTCCAATAACTCTGCTATCACTGATAGCACACCAATTAAACCACCAATTGGAAAATTAGAATTTTGATGATAATTCTTTACAATAAACACATGTTCTCAAGTGAGTGCCACCATTTTGAAAATGACTGTTAATATTAATCAATCATGGACATTAAAAAGTAAACATTGTACTAATTTTGAATTTTATTTCTATCTCATTCAGGTGAAAAGTTATTATAGTTTAGTTTTGCGTGAATTAAAAATCACCCTATATAGGAAAAAGTTAAAAAAAATTGTTTAATTTCATAAACGCTTCTATATTTCAGAGATTAATTTCAATGGTCTTGCTGACGTATTTTGTGTATTCATGGTATGCCTGAAAGCTCTGGGAACCAGTAGCGTAGCATAGAGGGAGCGGCAAAATTTGACAATAAATAATAATAATATCTTGTAAGAATTTGAACCATTTTATTTCATATTTTTGTCCACCTACGATTCGGACCGATTGAAATGAGCACGGAGTAGTGGGAATAGTGTTACCATCTGACTCTCCGTCCGAGGATGTCGTGCGCGACCTGTTGACGTTTGTTTTTTTGTTTTTTTTTTTTTTTTTGTTTTTTGCTTGTACGATTCATTCGTAGTTATATACACCTCCAATATCCAATAGGGCTAAGTCATCTAGATTACTTACGTTACTCCTACCCAACTCTCCCTAGTCGCTAACTGTAACTGATTTTGAACCAGCATGCACTCCAAATTATTCTTCATTGCAAAATGATATACGTATGCATCAGGAACTTCTGTTCGAACAAACCTCACCTGCCGTCAGAGTCGGCGATTTTAAAAAAGTGGCAACACTAGCACGGAATTTTTCATTACTTATTCTGTGACGAAATTGAATTTTAGTCTTTTAAATTGAGATACCTAAATAAGGGGGCGACGAAATTTTCCTCCGCCCCGGGCGGCTGACACCCACGCTACGCCACTGCTGGGAACTTTGTCGTTCGTTGCAATTTGAACTCCAGCCGCTAGTCCGTATTGGGAAGTCTTAATTGGAGAGCAAGCCTGCAGACCATAATCATATAAACAGAATGGAAGATGATTAATTCTGGAATGAGAACACTTATTAACACTTATTATCCACTAAAGAATACTCAATCGTTCTATTCCAAAATCACAAAAATCGCATATAAAGGAATAATGATGAAGAAATTAATAAAAATCAATGATTCACACAATTCAGCAGAGCTTGACAATTTATATAATACCAGAAGTTTATATTTGATAAAAACCAATTCGACTTTAACATATAGTTTTGTATAATACTGTATAAGCAATAGTTTAAAAATAGAATTGAATGCTTTTGATGATGATAATTAGTGAAGGAATTGCGACCGTACTTATAGCTTTAAGATCGATTTTTTTTAAATATGTAGAAGAGACTAAAACGCAGTGGCGTAGCGAACATAACTGGAGCCCGGGACACGACACTTTATTGGCGCTTCCCTCCCCTCCAGAAACACATATAGTTTGTCTTAGAGACCATTTGGGCGCCCCTCTGCCAGTGGCATCCCCTTGCACCCTCCTCACTACGCCAGTGCTAAAACGTCTTCATTTTTTCGCCATGTCCAATCACCAGGGATAACAGTCTTCCATTGCAGAGACGACCTTTTATTAGAGAGTATGCCTCTGAAAAACTATGCAAAACAGTTTAAAAAAGTTCACAGGTGACAAGCCAATACTTAAAAATACATAGTTTCTTTTAAAAAATGACTGATCACCGGTGAACTTTTTAAAACTGTTTTGCATAATTTTTCAGAGACATAGTCTCTAATAAAAGGTCGTCTCTGCAATGGAAGACTTATCCCTGGTGATTGGACATGACGAAAAAATGAAGGCGTTTTAGTCTCTTCTGCGGCGTATTTTTAAATGTGTAAAAATCGTCAGCCGACTGTGATTAATTGATTTGTTAAACAAGGAAAAAACCGTAGTTTTTTCCTTGTTTAACAAATCAATTAATCAAAATATATTTATATCATTTGTTACATTATGTTTACATTGAAACGCAATTTTTGATATTAATTAATCTTACTGGAAGTATCTGACATCTCAGATCCTAGGAGCTCCGCGGGATTATTTTTGATTGACGAAATATTTAAAAACTGAAAAAAATTTATACCTTCCCGACTTATAGACGTGGAAACAACTTTTTTCGTTTGCGTAAATATTTACTGAAAATAAAAATAGTTGGAATCTGTTAGACCTTATGCGAGCGATCATATATAGCAGTTATCGCAAATCTTTTTGAGCCCGCGTGCCATATAGTAAGCATACTTAGCTTTAAAGATATTTATGCGTGCCAAAGTTTTAGATTTCGAATAACGATATTTAAATAAATTAAAAGAATATGCATTAATTAGAATGCTATAAGTGTAAAATATCTGATTGAAAAAGGTGATAAAATGAAATTGTATGATACGTTACGTGATAAATTCTCTTTACTGCCATATAATAGACACTATATACCAGAAGTAGCGAACTCCTGGTATATAGTGTCCATTATATGGTGTATGTGTCTATTACACAATTAAACAAGAAAATAAAAATAATATCCTAGTAACCAATACTTGTTTTCATTTTGCAAACGAAATTCTAACGTGATCATAGTAATAACTGTATTCCTTTCTTCGCTAATAACGTTACACTAATGTTTCCCTTGCCTACTAAACTGTTTTCTGTATTTTTCTTCATCCTCTATTTCTACTCCAATAATAATAATTACTGTAATAATTCCCGCTGCAATTTTCTGTTGTCACTAACCACCAATTCGTGTAATAATTCCTGTTGCAATTTTCTGTTGTCACTAACCATCATGCGGCCATGATGTAAAGTAACTCGGACATACAAACGTCGAAACATACGAACGACTTCTCTTGGACATCGAAAACGGAACTCTACGCGAGATAGATGTATTACAAATAAAAAAATCGAGCAAGAATAAT